GTTTCAAATATTCGATTTGCCTCTTTAACTCCGAGTTTCGATTTTGAGCATTTTCGATGCGCGTCTGAGTCCACACATTCAGTTCCTCCACGGATTTAATCGATTCTGTGGACTCTTGACACGCCACCTTTCCTTTAATCAACGAGAAAACGTCATTGAAATCGCCTCTGTAGACGTTACTAATTCTCGACATCTCGAATTTGAGAGTCTCGAACATTTCTTTGAACGAAGTACCTTGAAGTGTTGGGTTTAATAAGATAGACCCGTTTTCTAAAGGTTCTTTGATGCATTGAGTGAACAAAACATCGACTGCTCTTCGGAACTGAGCGAGTGGAAATGACATTTCGTACTTCTTGAGTAAAAAGATGTCGATGTTCGCCTTTTGCAGGAGTTTGAGGATTTGGACGTTTTTCATGAATGGGGTATACAAATACCGAAGAAACAACAGCGTCACAAATGCGTTTCTTGCATCGTCTGCGCCTCGAATACTTAACACGTAATTATAGATTGACCGCAATATGATTTTCAGATGCGTCGGAATTTTGTCGGAGTTCTCCAGTAACAAAGCAGAGAAGTTCTCCAGTATCATAGCGTCGTCAATACTCTCAACACCTTCAAAGTCTTTTAACAACTGGACTGAAGTCGATGAAATGAATTCGGCGCAAAACGTTCGAAGGTACAAACTGTATATTCGAATAAATGAGGTATTCCCTCTAAAGAGTGGGTTACACCGATTCGTAGAGCTAACTTCATTCTTAGAAAAGTATTCAATCAGTTGTACGACCTTCCCCCGTGATGCGAAGAAGTTCAAGAGTACGGTTACCAAGTGGTGGTTCACAGAGATACCATTCATCTGTGTGTAAGTACCTCTAAACTATATTTACCAATAAATTTACTATAAATATACTAGTAATAACAAACCAGTGTTGCGTAAGCGTCCAACAAAGGGGATGGTGTGGTGAAAAGCATTTCCTTCAAAGTCATTTCGATGGTTCTTCGAGTGGTGAGGTAATTAGAAATGCGTTGTTGAGCGATTAAGTCGGGAGACCGAGTGACTGGTTGTGTTTGGAAGAGTTGAGAAGTGCACGAGATTGGGGAACTTTCACGCGATTCATTGATAGGGGAAAAGATGACCATTGTGTCCACGGACTTACAACTAATTGTGTGCTTCATCTTCGAGGACATTAGGGCTTTATGAAAAAGATTTTCGCGCTTTATAAGTTGGGGGTTTAGGTTGAAATCTGAACTGTTTCTAAACTTGTGCATATTTTCGATTCTTTTTGCCTCAAAAATCAAAAGAATGAGTTTGCGATGGGAGGGTGCCTTAGAACGGGATTTGTTTTGCTCATTGGAGAACAGAACAGATTCCCGTTTTTTTCGGAGGTTTTTCTCACACGTCGGGCCACGCGGCCTTACGCATCACTTTTAAACAGGGTTACTATTCCCGGTTTTTTGAATAGCAGTTTTGCGACAAGCAGCGCTGCCATTAATTGTATCCACGTCTGTTATTATAGTGTTAATCAACAAGAGCTGGATAATAAAAGATAACTCTGCCGACTAGAGGAATAATGCTTAAAAACTATTTTTTACCATTTTTCGATGGAAATTAGAACCAATCGGAATTGTTAGGGTTCCGAGAGTTGAAGGAAGTGACCAAAAAAAGATGCCATAAGTGGATCAAAATAAAGTTTTTTTATAACAAGCAGTTTATCGTGTAAAGAATGGGATTTGAGTTTGCCATTTCCAAAATAATCGCCGATTTCTGGTGGAAAATTCAAAAAGATTTTATTTTTATTTGGCGTTTTTGTTTTTGGAAATGATCTTCATTGGCGGAGTTTTGATTTTAAAACATTTGAGTAACATTTATCTGCCATTAAAAAGCAAGAATTTATTTGTTTGGTACGAAATTTATCGGGTTTTCTGCCTATTTTACCGAAATGATCTATTTTTCACTACTTTAACTCATATTTGAACTATTATTTACTATACTTTATATTAAAGTTAATAAAAGAGTATAGTTAAATAATAATAAAATTGTTATAATTGTAAATCATGTATTTGTGGGAAGAAATAGACGAAAAAATTCAAGTCCTTTATAAGTGGGCAAATGTATTAAACAATTAATTTAATTAATAGTAAATTATAATGAAACAGTGAAGTTAGATTATTGTTGAGTGCCAAAAAGCAGCAGTAAAACTGCCCAGGGTTATGGACATCAAGAAATATATTCGTTATTCTTCGTTTTTGATTTCTGAAAAAGTTTTTAACATCCATCCTGAAATTAATTTAAATAACCAAGAGAATCACCACACTATGTAATATGCTGCTATTATATACATTAAACCGACATATAGCACTCTTTTGTACCACTATAGGGTTTGATTTTTCAAAAACAGTAGACAAAGTTTAATGGGAGTTATTTTTTTGTATCCATTTTTATAATCATACAAACCATTTTTAAATTATAATTTATTTATTATTAACTAGTTTATATAGTTATATTTCTTTGATTTATTCTAATTGTTATTTTATTTAAATATGTATTTAAAAACAAGCAAACTATAAAAATAATTGTTCAATACAATTCAAACATTTTTTAAACCAGCTTTTTGAAAATCAAGACTAAAACCAGTAAACTATATTTCACTGTATTTATATATCACAGACAACGGTGGCTTTTTCTTTGTTGATTGGTCATTCAGCTATCTGTAAATGTCTTTTATAATGCACATAATAACGAATAAAATAATTAAGTTATAAATTCTAGACATCCACTTCTCATTAATATTATTTTCAATCAATGAAGTTTTAATGGTATTAACTTTGTTAACTTTTTTTATTACCTATCATTATTTATAAACCTTCAATGATAGTTATACACAAGTAATGAAGTGGTGCTTAAACACCAAAAAGTGTTCAAAATACTCTTATCATGTATATTATTATTATAATTTCTATTTATTATAAAATTAATAATATAAATCAAATTAAATTAAATATTGTATTATAAAATAATCGAGCAGTATTACAACTTTTTCAATCCAAATTTAAAACACAAACAACGAAATAATTCGGGAAATATATACACTAATTATTATCTTTTTTTATTTTTTAGACAATTTAAAATTTAGATTCTATTTTATAAAGTTATAACTTATTTAAAAAAAATATAAAAAATATTTTCTTAAACGTTGTTTTTTAAATATGTTTAAAATTATTTAATAATTTTTTTTATTATCTATTGTTTGTTAATATATGTTTTAATTATATTCGTTTTCATAACAATCTTTGTGTCAAAAAATGGATGATAAAAATTTAATGGGTGTGCACATGGTTGGAAAAAAAACAACATTCCGGCAAAATATTTTTTCTTTTATTTGTTAAAAAATAATTTTTGCCAACTCAGCGCCCAGTCACGGGAAAAAATCAAAATAGAACAAATCGACGTATAACTTTTTAATAGCCTGTTTTAATGTTTAAAAGCGGGAAAAAATCCAGTTTTCATTTTTAGAACAAGAATCTCGAATAAAAAAACTAATAATTAATTGTATATTATTTATAATAAATAGTAAAATCGAGATAATGGAATAGCAGTAATGGGATATAATTCAAATTATCAAGCTTTATTGATACAACAAATTAATAAATTAACTACGATTTTAAAATAAATATAGAAAAATAATAGCAAATCCAAAAGTGATTAATTAATTTAAACATAATAGGTGATAAATACTCAATTTAACAGGATTAATAACATTTTTAATAACAATAATACAAACAAAAAGAATAACAAAACTAAAAACAAAAAAATACAATATGTCAATTAAATACCATAACACAATTTGTCAAAAATGATGTTTAAACAATATCTAAAGCCAAAATAGAATCATCAAAGACTATTTTAAAACAAAATGTAATTATTTAAAATGACTGAAGAGTGATTTAACAATTAATAATTTAAACTAATATTAAAATTATATTTTAACTTTGAATATCCAAAATAAATTAAAAATTAATATAAATGAATAATTAAGTATAGTAATTTATAAACGATTTGAAAAACCAAATCTGTTTCCAAGTATTTCACCTTTCTCAAGAAGGCACAAATAAAGAGCTTTATCGACTGTTTTTTGTATTAAGTATTAAATGAACTCACGGCTTTAGTTTCTTTCAGGAGTCTGTCTCAAATTCAATTTTGATTATTCAGTTTACATGTCTTTCTCATACAAAAAAATACATTTAAACGTTTTCAGCTCTGATTATCTTTTCGCCATTTTTAAAACTTCTTCACTTTTGTTATTCGTTATATTGGCAAACATGTGTTTGGTACTTACTTTCAAATGGATGTCCACAAATTTTGAGCAAGTGACTCACTTTCTAATTTGTCGAGTAAGATACAACTATTTTTTACTTGATAGAAATATAGTAGAGTTTTGTTTAAATGACTTTGTTAAATTAAAATTTTTCAATTTGAGCTTTGACATCTTCTGATAATTTGAGTTCCTTTTTCTAATTTTTAATTTACGGATTTGCTCTTTCGAATTGTCATTTTCTTCATTCAGTGTGTTAACAATCGTTTACATCTTCACAATATAATCTTAACAAAGCTTTCTTAATTCCACAAAAGCGCCACTATTTTTCCAACAACCGTAACGGTAGCACATTAAGTAACAATTAATGTGCTCTGTTATATGTGTTATTAAAGTTTTTCTTTTATATCTTATGTTTCGTATTTTTTCAATTGTTTTGACTTAATCAAGTTGTTTTATTAAAATTGACTGATAATTTTTTATAATCCAATAATTTTTGTTTGTTAATTTTTACTCTAAAATATCTTTTTGTTTATAAACGAAATATTACAATGAAATCTTTATAGAATGTTTATTAGTTTGATGAAAAATCCAATGAATTTTGTTTTAAAATTTGTATAAAACAGATAAAATAGTTTTTAATGTATATTAATGTATTTGATAATCGAAACTCACTTTCAGCGATTTAATAAACAATGTTTTATAGTTATATTATTGATATTTGCGAAATATTAAACTATTTAATAATTAATCAAAACTCGAATTCTTATTCAACCAAAAAACTTGACAAAATAATGTAGAAATAATTTTACATTTCGAGGATACAGTATTTAACAATCAAATCTTTTTTATAACAATGTTCAGTTGAAAGAAAATATTAACATTATAAATAATATTTTATTAATTGATGTTAATAATTGTTATTAACATCAATTTATAACTTAAGTAATATTTCATATTTTTTAAATATTATTTCTTAGTTAATATATAATAATTCAACATTTTTTTATCTTAAATATTTGTTAAAAAAATTATTGATTTTTTTCAGTGTCAAATTTTTTAATTTATTCTTTATTGAAACATCATACGTTAATCAAATATTAAACGAAAAAATAATTCTATTAGAAGAAATAAGGTAAAAAGTTAAACAATGGTAAAAAACTGTTAAAATAATAATGTATTGCAATAATAATATACAAGCAAAATTAATGTTATTATTTTCAAAAAAAAGAAGGAAACGTTTATATAAATATTATAATTAACATATAATGAGTTTTGATAACGAATTGACATATAATAACAATATACAAACTTAATTATAATTTTTATAATAAATTATATTAACAATTTATCATAAGTTACTTTGTTTGATAAAATTAAGTTAATTTGTTGATAACTTTTAGATATACATAATTATTGTTAACTTATATATAATAAAAATTTGTGCAAAAGTATATTATTGGTTTGTATTTATTATTTGTAAATAAACTATATTTTATACAATAAAACAATAATTTAAATAATATGATATATATATTTTATAAAATTTGTTTATTTTATAATATAACTTTATTTATTTTTTTCAAAAAATACAATTATTACAATTATTAATTTATCAAATAATTAGTTTTGTTATTGAATAATCATTACCTTACAACATCTTGATATACTCTGTTTGAGGTGTATATGTTAAGTATTTTAATTTACATTTTGAACACAATTTTTGATTGTTTTACCTCTTGCAAAAAAGAAATATAATAAAGTATAATTTGTTGAATATATTATAAAAGTTAATCTTTTTTGATTTAAACATGAGTTAATTCAACTAAAATACAAAACAAATGGAAACACATTTTAAAACACAAGAAAAAGAAT